TCCCTTTTTTCTCCTTGAGGACGGTTTACTCCAAACTTGGCCGTTTAAATATGGGGGGACTTCACCCCCCAGAATTCCCCACCCAGCCATGCTGTCTGGGGAATTCTGAGAGTTGAAGTCCACTCATCTTAAAGAGGCCAAGTTTGGACAACACTGCTTTAGGAAAAAAAAAAAGAGAATGACTATCACCCCACAGGGCAGGACCAGAACTAATAGTTTTAATGCCTTGTGATGTTTTGAACACTTTGATCCCAGCAAATTCCAATTCCAAGCAGAGTTTGGAAGATCTTGTGGAAACATCTTAAACGTTTCTCAACCTGGGACCATTCCACTCCCAGAATCTCCACAAGTCCTTAGTAGGGACTTGTGGGAGTCCTAATTCCATCAGGAGGACACCAAATGGAGGAAAGTTAGTCATCTCCTCTTAGCTACATTCAGGAGCGTACATTCTCAGCTACGTTCTCTTTTAAAATAGAGAAAAGGAAGAGAACCAGCTTGGCTTGGAATGGCCCAGGTTCAAACCCATGAAGCTCACGGAGTGCTTTGGGGCCTGTGGCTATTGCTCAGCCCAGCCTTGAAGACTTCATGTGAATGGCAAAGGAAGCTCTAAATGCTGTCTTGAAGAGTTGAAGGAAAGGCGGAGATGCAACCATATTCAATAAATTAAACAAAAAGGGCCAGCTGAAGGCAAGAAACTCACCAGTTCATCCAGGTTCTTGAGGTCACACAAGGTTATCCTCTGCGTTTTGTTCAGGTAAATGGGAGACTTGGGCCCCAAATCTTGGATCGCCTGCTCTGTCTTCAGCTCTCCACAGACCACCTGGTCCCTCATTTCCTCCTCGATCTCTTCCTCCATCTGGATGAGCATGGGGGCCAGCATCCCAAACTTGGAGCCCTTCCTGGCCACCTCCAGCAGACAAAGGACGAAGTTCTTCTCATTCTTCTTCAACACCAAGTCGTTAGTTTCAAACATCAGGACATCTTGGATGCCCAGCTCCTGACGGCACCACTGGATGAAGTTGGAGATGTTATCCCTAGCGATGAAAGAGCCAGGGACCACGTTCTTTGCTTGGAAAATCACCTCTTTCTGGGGGATCCTCATGCGAGAAGCAGCCTCCGGGTTCGACTGTTGGAACTCCAGAGCTATACGGTTGACGTTGTTGGCATGCTGGCAGAGGTCATACCCCGTCTCCAGGACGTCCATGAAGTTCTCCACCTGGACATCAAGATCGTAAAGGGTGTTCAGCCACTCCGCCAGGTCCTCCTTCATAGCGTAGAGATACTCCTCACTGGAGCGAAATGGACGGATGCTCTTGGAAGCGGCCGACTGGATGTTACTGGGGTCAGCCATTGTTCAGACTTGGAATGGTCACTGTTGGGGCAAAGAGGTAGGGAGATATCAGGTATTTTAAAGGCAGCAAAGGAAAACCTTATTCCTTTACAACAGAGCCGAGGACTTTGTATGGTATTCATGAGAATAAGAAATATTGGAAGAAAAACCTCATCGGTACTGTTGCCGAGAAAACTGCGTGGACACGTCCGTGATGTCATCAGGGGCTGAGTTCTCTCTAAAAAGGAGATTTTACTTTCCATTCTGAGATTTTTATTTAACTGCTTCCATTTTTTTTTTTTTTAAAACCCTCTGGTATATTGACACTTTTGTAAACAAATCAGAGGTTAAATCTCCGTGTGAAAAAAGAGAGTCCCTTGGAGCGCCCAATTCACGGCTTTTTCCATACAAAATGACCCTTAAATGAATTCAAGGTCACTAAAACAGAAGTCGCAAAGTTGTGCCCTTCCATCTATTGTTCTGGGTGTGGGCCTTATTACAGCAATAATCACAGCCACGACAGCCTCATGGCGCAGGGGGAAAATGACTTCTTTTCACGTTACACAAATATTAACCGACCAATTCATCTAAATGAACAGGGAACAAGAGAAACAGGACAGGGCTGAAAGGAAAAGGGGAACAAATGGAAATGGTTGTGATAAACCTCATAAAGCCAAAAAATCGATCTGATCGCATGAAAAGTCCTCTCCCTAAGTGGGGGGGAAAACAGCTGATTTAAATGCTGAAAATAACAGGCCTCCCAACTAAAATTCCATCATTTTCCTCTATTGATCCTGTGGCTGATTTAGCACAGTAACCAGCCCATTCTTATAACATATGTAACTCGGTTACTGAATCAATCCATTTTTTATATTCTGTGCACTAAACCTGTGTTTCTCAACCTTGACAACTTTAAGATAGGTGGATTTCAACTCCCAGAATTCCCCAGCCAGCATGCTGGCTGGGGAATTCTGGGAG